TCAGCGAGTGCGCAGAGTGCCCACCTACTTAAGCGATTACGATTGTTCCTAAATGTTTTTGCTTAGGGGGGAGGGATTTGTTATGTATTGCATTGTATATAACTGCTATGTGAACTGTGTAAATACTGATGTGTGAATCGACTGATTGAGATGCCATGTTGAGCTTCATCCTGGGCTAGGATCCTAATGTAACCAATAGGAGCCCTAGCCCAGAGAGTGTCTACCAATCACGCTGTAAAGCGGGACCGCTTGTGATTGGGCATTATATCTTCAACCTCATAGGTTGTTATTTGTACAGGGGGTGTGGCTACACTAGCCGGGAATGTTTAAATACAGAGCAGCCAGTGCTTGTCCTTCGGCTCGAGTGGTTCGAATGATGGTTCTGGCTGGCGATCGTAACTAAGCTGAAGAATAAACCGCAATTCTTGCTGAATCACTCTCCGACTCTTTGTTAAGCGCACGACTTAACAGATATCATTTTGCTGGCTCGCCTTCTTGTATTCCTCCCACCCGGCCTCGAGGACTGGGCTGTAGGTATGGGTCGCCAACCTCCAGGCGGGGCCTGGAGATCTCCGGGACTGGCAGCGGGTCTCCCGGCTACAGAGATCGGTTCCCGGAGAAAACAGCGGTTTGGGGGAGCGGACTGTACTAGTGTTGCCAGCCTCCGGGTGGGGGCTGGAGATCTCCCGCTTTTACGACTGATCCCCAGCTGACAGAGATGAGCTCTCCTGGAGAAACTGGCTGCTTTGAAGGATGGACTGTACGGCATTATACCCCAAGAAGGTTCCGCCCTCCTCCGCCCCCTCCCGCAAACTCCAGGAATCTCCCAAACCGGTTAGGGTTCTGAGCTCTGGCTTGGGAAATTCCTGGAGATTTGGGGCCGGGCCGGGGGCAGAATTGGGGTATGGGGAGGAGTGCGGCAGTGATGCGATGTCCCTCTACAACTTCCATCTTCCTAGAATCTATGGCAAGGATTTTTTAGTATTATTATTAATATTAATAATATTAATTCAGGGGTCATTTCCTGCAGGAGCGCACGCTCTGGCAGTAAAGAGCCCAGGGGGGCGGGCACTTGCAACAAGCCCCACCCCCCGCTCCCAGCAGCCCTCAGTCAGAGCAAGAAGCAGCCAGGTAAGTTGCAGAGCTCCCCCCCCCCGGCCCCCCGGTCCAAAACAGTCCAGTGGCACCTTTAAGACCAAGTTTTATTCAGGTACAAGCTC